GAATCAAACCGTGACCTCCTGGTTCATAAGTCAATGCTCAATCTCTGAACCACGCAGGCTGGGCCATTGTCTCTACTTTTAAAATTAGCCCTTCAGGAAATCCTGCCATTTGTGACCACATTGATGAACCTGGAGGGCATTATGCTAAGTTAAATAAGCCAGACAAAGACAAATACTGCATGGTATCACTTATATATAGAATCTAAAAAAAAAGTCAAACTCATAGCAACAGTATAGAATGGTGGTTATCAGGGACTAGGGAATGAGGAAATAAGAAGAGGTTGGTAAAAGCGTACAGACTTTCAGTTATTAGATGAATAAGTTCTGGGAATCTAATGTATAGCCTGGTGGCTATAGTTAACAATACTGTATTGTATAGTTGAAAGTTACTAAGAGAGTAGATCTTAAGTGTTCTCAACCACAAAAAGAAAAAGAAGAATATGAAGTGATGGGATGGATATCCGTCTTAACTCAGGGGTGGGAATCCTTTCACAATGTATATGTATATCAAATGCTCACATTGTGCACTTTTAAATATATTAAAATTTTATTTGTCATTATACCTCAATAAAGCCAAGGAAAAATTAAATGAATAAATAAAGGGAAATAAATAAATAAAATTAGCCCTTCAGATCAGGAGAAGTTGAATGAATGAAAAGCCAGAACTGTTACCTAGTTATTTGAAGAAGATTGTTATTCGGGAGCACTTGAGGCCCAAGTGTCAGGAGCTTGGGGAAGTCTTCTTGGCTAGAAGAGATAAAGACCATCGTTTAAATTTTGTTTTCCTGCTTCTAAGTTGGGTTTTGTACAAGTCTCATGACCTAATTGACTTTCTGTCCATAGGCTTCTTTTGTGAGGCTATTTGTCTGTGACTAGTGAGAGGAAATAACTGGTCACTTTTAAATGAGGAAAGCCCAACTCTGACCAGGAACGGAGCCTGCCATTGCCCTCATCCCTAGCCCTATAGTGGGCCTTCCCTCAGGGCTTAGAGACCTTCCTTGCCCACTGGCATCGGAAGTCCATTGAGTTATCCATGAACTCTTATCTCCCGACCTCTTCCCAAATGAGCCACATCTATACTATTCGTGCATTTAAGGATGTTTATAGGCCTAAGTTAATTTCTGTTACTCATTGAAATTTAAGCTTCTTAAGTGGGTCAGCTATCATAGGGTTCCTCGAAACAATCAGTTTTAAATGCACAATACACATTAATTTTTAGAGTAAAAAAATTATTTTCTTGATTTGGAAACTTTTATGTGACAGGAAAACAAATCTCTCTTTGTACTATGCATGCATATGTATATTCTCTATATGTGTAAGTTCTATATATATATTCACCCTTGGGTCTATTACCACCACGAAATACAGGTGTCCTAAAAATAAAATAAGGACTTTATTGCTATGAGGGGTCCAGGAAAGGAAGTGTTTCTAACTGTTGAAATAGATCCCAAAGGGATATAGTAGAATTTCCTCGCTGAGCCTGAAGAAAAAAAGTGCCATAGTCTCCCTTTTGGGGGTTCAGGTAAATGTAGAGGACTTAAGGAGCAGTGGGCAGAATTAGGGAGGAGGCGTTCTTGAATCATCACCCAGCCCTCGCATGGAAGCAGCATGATGTAGTGGAGAAGCATGGCTTTGTGAATCAATCCATGGGTTCAAGTCTCCGCTCTCTGATCTCTCACTGAGGCTTTTTTATAAAAATGGCTAACATCATGTCATAGGTATGATTAAATGAATTAAAGTATGTGAAGCATATATGATATAGCAAAGGGGGCCCATGAGCATAGTCCCGTACCCCTCTTTACAGTCTGCCTCTAGCGTGGCTCCCCAAACTCACTGCTTGTCAGTCTTTCACACCACTCTATAGTCTAATCATACAGAATTACATAAAGGTTTTTTTGTCCTTTTTATTTTGTCTTAAGCATGTTGTTTCCACGCTGTCATGTATTTTATGCCCTTCACTTTCGCCCAGGGCTGGCCTTCCACTTGGACTCTGAAACCCATTTATGTTTATACTGATGATGAACCCCTACTTCAAGATGCACTTCAGGTCACCTAGTTTTTGAGGTTTGACGTGTGTAAGCCAAGATGGCAATTTTTGATATACAGTGAAAATCCAACTGATTACATTTTTGTGTGATTTAGCCACCTCACACCAGCTTGTAAGAGCTGATTGTGCACAACACTTTCCAACTCCGTGGCGACTGATATCATCTTAATAGCTTAAAACTGATTGTGAACAGAAATGTGTAAACTACAAGGCAGGGAGCTCCCCTTGCACCAAGAGCCTGATGTTAAACATTTATCATTACACCATTGATACTGTCTCTGGGTGAGTTGTGTGGGAGGGCAAGCCGTCTTCACAAGATTATATCGTGTGGACTTGGATCAGGGACTTCAGTGATGTGATTCTCACATTTAATGTTATCAGCATGAGACCTCCTCCAGGTCCTTTTCTGAAATGGTGGTATTCCTGCCCTTCAGCTAACGTTTGTTTTTACTAAGTTGTAGTAATATGCCAATCCTGTTTCCCTGAAATGAGGTCAAACTCATTTTTTTTTGCAACCATGCCACTCCCAGGTTACATATATAGGATGCCCCCCACAAAAAAAATGTAATGCTTTTTAAAGTAAATTTACCAAGTTACGTAACCAACTCCATAATCCAGTTTTAGAGTATTTCTGTCACTCCGATAAAATTCCTTGTGCCCATTTGCCTTCACTCCATCCCCCTCGCCCCCAGCCCTTTGCAACACTAATCTACTTTATGTGTCTATAAATTTGTATTTTGTGGACATTTCATATAAATTGAATCATGTTATATGGTCTTTTGTGTTTGGCTTCTTTCATATAGCAAAATATTTTTTAGGTTCATCCATGGTTATGCCATATATCAATAATTAATTCCTTTTAATTGTTGAATCGTATTATGTTATGTGTATATACCACATTATGGTTATCTGTTTGCTGTGGGTAGACATTTGGGGTGTTTCAAATTTTTGGTTCTTATAAATAATGCTGTGTACATTCAAGTACATGTCCTTGTGTAGACATGTGTTTTTATTTCTCTTGGGTAGATTCCTAGAGTAGAATTGCTGGGTTGTATGGTAAATTTATGCTTAACTTTTTAAAGAAACTGTCCATCTGTTTTCCAAGGTGGCTGAACCATTTTACAGTCCCACCAGCAATTCCTGGGGAATGATCTATGGGTACTTGAAAAGCATGTGTATGATGCTCATCTTGTGAGAAGTGTTTTACAAATGCCAGCTAGGTCAATTTTGGGCTGGTGGTGTGTAAACTTTCCATATTCTTGCTGATTTTCTTTCTAGATGTTCCATCTATTGTCAATAATGGAATGTTGAACTCTTTGTTAGTGTTTCTTTGTCTTTAGTTTTCAACAATTTCTTACAATGTGTCTGGGTGTGGATTTCTTTGTATTTATTATTTTTGGTGTTCTCTCAGCTTCTCAACAATTTTGAGCTGTTTTTTTCTTCAAATACTTTTTAGCATCACACTCTTTTTCTTTTCCGTATTGCATCCCAGTTACACAAATATTAGAGCCTTTATTGTTATCCTACAGGTCCCTGAAGCTTTATTCTCCCCTCCCCCGTCTTTTTTCTTTCTTTTATTTAAATGGGCTGGTTTATTTACCTATTTTCAAGTTTACTGCCTCCTCCATTGTGCTATTGCATTCTTTCAGTGAATTTTTAATTTTGGTTATTTTATTTTCCAATTCTAAAGTTTCAATTGGATTATCCTTTATATCTTCACTTTGCCAATTCTTTCTATTTTGACTTACTTTCAAGAGTGGTCAAGTTTGGCAATTGCTCTTTTGAGCATTTTTATAATAGCTGTTTCAACATATTTATTAGATAATTTATACATTTGTGTCATCTCATTATTGGTGTCTGTTGATTGTCTTTTCCCATGTGAGTTGGCATTTTTGTGCTGCTTTGTATGCTAATTTTGGATCTTATCCTGGACGTTTTGATTATTATGTATTAGACTCTGAATCTTGTTTCAATTTAATGGCGAATGTTGATATACAGGGTGTCCCAAAAAAATGTGTACACACTTTAACAACTGATAGCTCAATTTTGAAAATGAAATTATCATAATAAACACTGCCTTTATAATTATTCAAAGTGTGTATATACATTTTGGGGCACACCCTATATTTGCTTTAGCAATCAACTAACCTAGTTAGGTTCAGACTGCAAGTTCCAACTCACTTTCTGTAGCTCCAATGTCCAGTTTAGTATTCAATGCCTTTGCAGTGTTATTCAGATCTGCCCCACGTGTGACATCCTTTCGTCACTCTGGGACCTGAGTGTTAGTCTGTTAGCTCAGTTCTCAAAGTCTTTGACATGTTAATTAGGACCACATCCACATATGCACGGGGAGGGGGGGGCGGTGAACTGAGTTGTTCATCAGCAGCTTTAAGAGCTTTCCTGAGCTCTTCCCTCTTTGTTATTTTCATGGTACTTTCTGGTTTCCTAGAACTTTCTTTTTTGGTCCTCCAGTGAAAAGCCACACATTTTCATGATGCACTGCCTCTCGAGTACAAGGGGCAGGCAGGCAGAGAAAGAAAGTAAAAAAAAAAAACCACAATGGGATTTGGCTTTGCCCTTTTGGAACTATAGCTCCACCAAATAGAATGGAAGGTTCCTCTCCTTCTAGAGTTTTAACTCCTACAGTCTCCCTCTGCCAATCAATTTTATTGCTGCTGTGACAGCCTCAATCATGGGATATTTCTGGGCATAAGAGAAGGGAGAAAACGGAGAGAAAAACCCAGGGGATTTCCAAACAGCACCTTGAGCCAGAACATGTGCTCCAACCACAGTGCTCACTTTCAGGTTTTGTTGTGTTGAGTTCAGGCCAGAAAATACAAGAGGAAAAAAAGTAGTAATGTCACCACCAGTTCAGTTGTACATGGCTTTTTGGTATTCTTCCCTGACCCGCCTGCTGATATCCACGTTAAATAGTTCCTCACAGCTGCTGATACACTTGTACAGATGTTATAGTTGCATGCGGTGGACAGAAAGGTTAGTGCGTTTGTTGACTGATATTTTAAGTGATGTTTTAGATTCTCCCCTACCCAAATTTTTATATCTTGCAAATAATAAATTCAGAGATGCAGTGCTTGGTGTAGTGAAGTGGACACGAGTTTCTAAGGGTAAGTAGAGGAGCTACACTATTGGCAGAAGACATAATGCCCTCCTGAAAAACAAAGCCACTTTTCTGAAGGCATGGGTGGTAATCCCATCCGGAAGCACAGTTCTTTGTCCTCAGGGAGCATATCATTGACCTTGTTGTTTTCCTTGGCCCTGTCTCTTACTTCTCTTACTTCTCTCCTGCTGTCACATTTTCTTCCCTCTATCCTGCTGTTTTCCAGTAACCTTTGCGCCCCAGGACTTCATTCATCAACTTTTTTCTCCTCCTCCCTTCTCTGTTTGTCTCTGGTTTCCCCTACACTTTCTCCTTCCTAACATTACGGTCTTGCATTTTATCACCAGACTCTGTCTTCCAAGGATAAATACACTGCCCTGTGACATCTTAGGGTGTACGTGCTTGCTTGCACTTGAGGGATGGAGAAGTTAGGCTGGAGAGGTGGGGCTGTGTGTAATCAGCTTTTGACTCATAGATTAGGCTCAGACCTGAGTCTCTGCAAGGCTTTGTGGTGGGCTAGCTGGCCGCTTTTCCACGATATTAGGGCTTTTTCTCTCATCCAGTATTTCTGGTGATTGTGGCGCCAGGCCACATGAAGCTCCAGCACAGCCAGGAGTATGGGTCTAGAAAGAAAGTAGTATTCAAGCCACACTAACCTCATTAACTTGGGAATCTATCAGAGCCTCCTAAACTGTTTTTTGGTTTGTTTTGTTGTTAATCTTGACATCTAATAGGGAGAAACTAGTAAACTAGACAGTTACTTTTATGCGAGTATTTGCTATTGTTAGTTACGTGGTGCAGAATCTCTGCTGGAAGGAAGTACTAAAAGCACCTGGGCGAAGCACATGCTTTTATGCTGCAGCAGCTTTCACTATTTTTTTTTATGGTGGAAACATACATTCCTTAAAAACCACAGTGGGCTTCCCAGGTGTCTCTTCAGATCCATCAGGTTTCAGGTACATTCAAGCTTAACTCATAATCGTCTGGGCATATAATGATGTACAGATAAAAACGTGTTGGTACAACAGATATGATACCTTTGGAAAGAAAATTCTCAAGTACAGCATGTTGTCTCATTTATTACCACTAAACGCCATTATCCCCTTGGCTGGGGGCAGGGCAGCAGCAGGGAGCTGCCTGAGTTCTGACCCCACTGTTTTTATGCCAGACTCACCCTCCTTGCACAAGGGCAGGTTAATGATACTCATTTTCCACTGCTAAGACTTTCATTCTTTCTTTCAGCAGTAGCCAAAGTGACTAATTAAAAAGAAAGTACTTATTAGTCTCACTCTTTATTTTACAAAGTACTCTTCATTTCAATGGCATGTTTCGGTGGAGATCTCTTTTTGTTGTTGTTGTTTTTAAATATATTTTTATTGATTTCAGAGAGGAAGGAAGAGAGAGAAAGAAACATCAATGATGAGAGAGAATCATTGATCGGCTGCCTCCTCCATGTCCCCTACTGGGGATCGAGCCCACAACCCGGGCAT